TGCTAATGATGTTTGGTTGTAAGTATGTGAGTCAGATAATGGAGGTACTGGGATCTGAACTAGCTAAAGAGAAGGGGATACAGAGTTTACTGGACAAACTACATGACATGGAGCTAGTGTTACCTGATTGATATAATGATTGATTGGGTCTGTATGTGTCACTTAGTGTTGTATGGGACACATAGTGTCTGTTCATTTTTGATTATTACTCTTGTTATTATTAATTATTATTAATTATTATTAATTGTTATTAATATTATGTCAAAATATGTATAGAATAGAAATACGATAGAGAGAACAGGAAGTACATAAATGAGAAAAAAATTAGTAAACTTTAAATATCAAGCAAAATATTATTTATTACTGAACAGACAACAGCTATAAAAACTAGATCTACTAAATCACTGGTTATAACGATGTTTTATGTTATTCAATAAAACTGTAATGAGAATCAGGATGCATAATGTTTTTACAATAAAATTTATAGCTGAATCATATTCTGTATTGTGGCATTTATGCTGGGGTAATCCTATGATAAATCCACCTTGTTCGGCATTAGCAAACTGACATGTAAAGTTATTTTTTAATTTTTTTGTTATTGTTTTGTCAATTCTTTCAACTGGTAACTTCTTTAATAAAATAATGCACTCGCTGAAAGCATCAATGAAGTGGTTTAGTTTAAATGTTGTTGATTTTGAGTATACAGTGACATTTACCACAGTCCAGCTATTCCATGTGCTCAACATGTCCACACTCTTAAAATAATAATCGCTATTTCTATTCTTAATGTAAGTAAATGATGTAAAAGAAGACAGTCGTATTGTTGGTAGTTTTCTTTTCTTTAGATGATAGAAGAACTTTTCATAATAATGAACCATTAGATTATTAGTGCTTTTAGTCCATTGGATGTGTTGTCGTCCTGATAGTTCCAGGTTCCAAACTGAACTGTAAGTTAGAGTACCATGTGTATCAACTCTGTCTTGAATTACCAGTTCTTCCAGAGATGTCTGCATTTTAATTAAGTTTAGAATATCATTATATGGTATGCAATAATTTTCCACATACAATTTCTTCAGTGGCCTACCAGGAGTAACAAGTTGTCCAAGCTTAAGCCTTGCGAAATCATTTTCATCTAGATTAATAGCTAATATACTTAGTATATTTAGCTTTTTGAGTTTTAAAAGAGGGTTTTCTGAAGACCATTGCAAAGCAGGAGTAACAAGTTTTATAAGAGGGTTTTCTGAAGACCATTGCAAAGCAGGAGTAACGAGTTTTAGCAGAGGGTTTTCTGAAGGCCATTGCAAAGCAGGAGTAACAAGTAAAACCTCTTGTAATAATGGAAATCTAGAAATTATACCACAAAATTCAGAAATTTCAGAATAATTTGATGGAAGAATCAAGATTTCAATTACTAAATGACTAGGCATAAGTAGTAGCTCTTTAAATCCTTTGTGCCTCTCATCAAAGCCTTTGATTAGAAATCGTAATAATAGTTTCCCACTAACAGTAGAATGAGATTGAAGTCCTTTGTTGAATGCTTTTATTTGATCTGAATTTGAGAATCCAATCCTATAGGTGCTTTTGTGAACGGCAACAAGATAGCCTAAGATATAATAATCAAAATTTGTGTTGGGTGAGCCTGAGTACAACGAATGATTAACAGGTAAGCCTATGTTGTATAGTAGTGAATCATCTTCATAGAGACACCCTAGCAATACACTGCCAATGTCCACATATTTATCACCATTTTCTGTATATTGAGAAATGTTTTGCTTTAAAATATGTAATACTACATAATCCATATCTCTGGCACCCATTATTTTGCGGATTCCAACGTAAAAAATAAAAATAACTTTAAGGCTTGGAATGTGCCTAATTTCAATATCTTGCTTGTTATTAGCAAGATAAACTGCAGCAAAGTATTCTTGTAGTGTTGTGTGTAAAAAGCTACTGGACTCATATTTTTCAAAAACAAAGAAATTAACAATTGTATCCATCATACTGAGTTTAGTGACATTGCAAAGCTCCTTTCCAAAAGTATATTGCTGATTCATCACACCATCATAGGCTATCTTGGACAGAAGGGAGAAGTTTTTCCAAACATTCTGTAGTAAAGGATCATTGAAATCAGTTTCAAGCATCAAATTTTGAGGCATATCATAGTCTAGATCTGATATGAGTCCTGCATCAATGAGGTGCCTCTTGAGTAAGATACGAACGTAATGATTGTAGAGTGATGTCATTGTTCTTGGATACTGTTCATTATTAGTGGCTATAAAGTCATTGAATATTGTACACACTATGAAACAGTGCAGTGGATTACAAAGCATGCTCTCAATCATAAGATTACTACTGTAATAAGAATGAAACTTTGAAGCTTTGTCTTTGTCATTAAAATATTTTGAAGCATATTCCTCTATCTTAGTCGAATCAAACCCTCTAAGACTGATACGTTTTGAGTTGTGATCATGTAAAAAATGAAGCAATAAATCACTAGCAACAGGTCTGCTGGTGACAATGACTGTTGACTTTGGAAGAATGTCACCTTTTATAAGTTTCATAAGCACTGATGAATTGTTTTTCAAATGACTTGGAAGCTCATCAAAGCCATCTAATATCCACAGGATACCTGCTCCTTTTCTTTTTCTAATTTCTACATGTAAGTCTGTCATATTAATACTTTGATCATCCAAGTCAACTAAAAGATCTTCCACACTTGTAGCTTTGTGGTAAGTTTCAAAGCGCAGCTGAATAAGAAACACTATGTCATAATTGTTTAATAATGCATCATATCCTTTAGCCCATCGTAATGCTAGCTCTTTAGCTAATGTACTCTTTCCTATGCCAGGCTCTCCTTCAATTAGTACAAACTTTAATCGTTTCTTTGAAACTGGCTTTAATATATCCTCAATTTGAATTTTCATGACTTCCTCATTTCGAAAAATATCCTTAGGAGTTTTACTCTGTAACCATCCAGCAGTTGGTTTGTTGACATTTTTAAGTACAATAGATATTAAGGGTATGAATGGAACATGGACAGAAACTGGACCGGCTGTAGGATATTTATTATATTTTGGGTCTTTATATTTAGTTAAAGTCTCAATGTATTTCTCACGTAGCTCTGACCCATAGAGTTCAATCACTCCTGGTATTGGTGTATGTGAATCAGGAGGTAGCAAAAGTACAATTATTAATACTAAAACTGCCATTGTTATAACTGCTATTATATATATACGTGGTTGTAATAATATACTTTCAGCTGTAGGTTCTTGGGGAGTAACAATAGGGATTCCTTCTGGTGGTGGTCTTGATATAGCTAAAATGAAAATACACCATCGGCATTATTTTTAATAAAATTTGGATCATGTAGTCATTACATTAATTTTATTGTTTGATATTCATTAATCCTCATTAAAGTTAATCTTGCAGGCCAACTTTCAACCAGGAGTTGGTCCACAAAGTGTACATTGAAAATTACATGTATATATACTATGCACATGCACACCTCTTCTCATGATGTAATAACTTACTCTTTTCAATGCTTTGTTCAAGATACTTTTGGTAATCAATAGCTTGTTTTCTAAAGCCCATATCTTCTAGTACTTCTACAAGCTCTCTCCTAGTTGCTTCTTCTGTTTTAGAATCCAGCTACAACTGATACATCAGACTAGTTTTGTCATCTTCACTGACTGAGAGTTTTCGGATTGCATTGAGTCTTTGTGAATCTAAACCTAACAACACACCGATGGCATACCAGTCAGCAGGTAGACACACTTTCTTCATTAGCTCTTGCAAACTAGGGCGTGAATCAAGAAGAGATGCCATTTCTGCAGGAAAATAAACAAACAGGAGCCACTCCTCCTTTTCTGGGCGGTGCTAGCTAGAGACCACGTGATGCACAATGCCTCTCCC